GCAAGGGATGGATCGTGACGTTCCTGGCGGGGTCCTCGGGACCGAGGCCCGCCTTTTTACACCGGGTAAGAAAGAGCCGCTTGAGGCCACCATGGTTGAAGCGAGATAAATGAAAAGGCTGTCCCACGGGGGAAGGAGGCAGACGCGGCAGCGAACAGTGAAGCGGAGAGAAGAGAACTCTCCGGTTGTGTGCACGTACGGGTGATCCACGCGCGGAGAGGTGTGTGCGAGCCCGAGGGAGAAAGAGGAATCGAAGGATTAAAACGGAAGGACGGAGAGAGCCGGAGCGAGCCGAGCCAGAAGAAAGGATGTTGGATACACTGGTAGAGGGAGGAGAGGGGTGTACACCAAGAGTGGGAGAGACGGGAGGGATGGAGAGGATCGACCGGGTGGTGCAAGAAGCGAAGGAAGAGAAGGCAAAAAGGAGGAAAAAAGGTGGGATCCCTTAAAAATTGAGACCCACAGAGGTGGGGATCGGAATTTCGGGCCCCGTAAACCGGCCAGTCTCGTGGAGGCCGCCTTCTGGCGAAGATGAGGTGAAGAGAAGAGAAGAGAAGAGAAGCTCGGCGAACGAAAGAAGGAGAGGAAGAAAACCCGTGTGTCGCTTACCCGCGTTGCATGTACCTACTACACGGAACGAGATAGCGAGACACCACCGAGGAAGAGGAGAAGAAAGAAGAAGAGGAATCTGGTGCCTAGTCTACCGTGTACCCGGCATGGACCGTCAGTACACACTCTGCGTACTCGTACCGGCGCACCAGTACCGCACCTACGTGAACAATTACCATCAGCAGGCGCAGAATCATCACCGGTTCCAGCAACGACAGAAACACTGCAACGCGGAACTGCAGCAACGGGAGTGCAAGCAGCAGCAGCAGCAGCCTTATCACCATCAGGAACAGATCTACGAGAACGTTGTGTCCCAATATCGGATGAGGATGTGCTACCACAACGATTACGAAAATGACGAGCAGATTCAAAGGTTCTACTGGGAGCAATGCTACAGACGCGACGACACCGACGCTACTGCTTATTATTATTGTGAATACGTAAGGATTCCTTTTCCTGGATCAACAACGTGCCCTTCGATCTCTGCGGCTCGACAGTCTTTAACGGAGCTCGTTTAGGTGTGAAGTTCACTCCAAGTGCAATGTCAGTTTATCGTTGCAAGTGCAATTCTGGTTCTGTACTCCTAGAGTTATGTAGAGAGATCTGGAAGATCGGTTTAGGATACGCGTCTGAGATCGAAGGTTCAGTTTCATTTTATGTATTGTACATAGCATTAATATTGAACCTTCAGTGGTCTGCTATCAGCGGTCTGGGAATTACTCCTGTATTGTAT